ATCCAAGCAACTCTTCTTATTTAAAAGGAAACATTTGGGGAACCTGAGTGACTCTTATTTACTCTGGCAAATTCGCCGATAATCAATTCAATCTCCACGACTGTGGTGACCATCGGGGGAAGAGGCGATCTTTCTCTTTAAAACTATGAGGTTTCTAGCGGCGCCCAGCTCAGAGTAGGAGCCCAATAAATGCTACTGAATGCGTTCAGGCTCCAGTCCGGAAGCGAAGGATGGAAGTGAATTACAATTAATCCTTTTAGAAACAATAGGCAGGACCTGAAACCACCGCCAACTTTCAGATATTGTTATTGTATGGCATGGGTTTAACTTTTAGGGTGAGAACTTCGAGTACCTGTGTTAGCAAACCTACAGGAAGAAATAAGTACTGGAAGAAAAGGAAGCATCTTGTTGGTTTCCCATGCACTATTTTTGGCACGGAGACCCGGCACTGTGTGTCCCCAACATGGGAAGGGGACACAAGGGACTTGGGGACACTCACAAGGAGTCCCATAGCTCGGGCCCCCGACCGCATAGCGGCGTGCTCTTCCCAGTTCTCGACTCCTGTTTCCATTTTCAGTGGCTTACGCTTGAGGGATGTGTGGTGGGGAACCGGTGCCGGATTTTCCCAATCTCCGCCAGGGTTCGGGAGCTTGAGCAGGGCCAGGACCGTGCTTTGGCCGTGGGCGCGCTCGGGCTCGTCTCGGTGCACGATCAGCGTCCGAATCGCGCAAAGCGCCGGCGGCGCTGCACGAACGTACCTCCCCTCGGGGAAGATTCCTAGAAGAATGGAGGGGCTTGTGGCTGCAGCTCCGGAGCTCTCCGGAGAATGGGTGTTCGTGGAAGTGCAGGCGGGCGCGCTCTCGGACACGTCGATGCTGTGAGCAGGGCCTGGTGTCCGGGCGTGCGGGAGCGCACACGCCGAGCCAGCACGCACTTGTGCCAGCTGCGCACAGCGCCTGCGGGGCCCTGCTATTCCTCGCGCCGAGGGCCCCCTTCCCCCCAGAGCTTTCAGCGGCCACCTGCATCTGTTCATTTTATGAGAGCAGCGCGCCAAGCCTGAAGAGCACAGGGAGGCCGAGTCCCGCAGGGGGGCAGGCACGGAGTCACCCCTGCGGTTCTGGGACCTGGAAAGGATCGCTTCCTTTGCACAAGAAGTCTTTCTCGGGGCCCAGCTGGCTGTTTTCTTGGCCTCCAGGGACATCGCTTCCTTAAGTGGTCCCCTCCTCTCCACTGGGGAGAACCGGGCTCCTTGTACGGGCCCCGGCGTGGAGCTCCACGCGCGCCAGCCCCTCGGAGCCCACGATTCACGTCCAATTGGCAGAGGGTGACCTCTCAGAGTGCGAGGTACACACGTCGAGCCCCGCCGGGTTGCCCTGTGGGGCCTGATCTGTACCGCTGCGGCCGGGTCTCCGTCCCGACGGCAAGGGCACGTCGCCTCCTCCATCCCCACCCACCACGTGCACTGGCGACGACGAGCCAGGACCCATGCTAAGCTCTTCCGAGACATCAGCTCACTCCATGCTCATTACGAGAGCCCATTGTGCGGACGAGGAGACGCACAGGTAAGCGTGGTAATCAAGGCCGCGTGGAAACTGGGAGGGCCCGGGTTCAAGCGCAGGACGGCGGGACTCCCGCGGGACGCGCGCTCCGGCGGCCCCAGCGCTTTCAGCGAAGCTCTGTGACCCGGCCCGGCCTGGGCGGTCGGAGGGCGCGTGTGTGGCCTGAGTCAGCACCCGCGCCCGTGGCTGCCCGCGGACAAGGCCGGGCGGCCTGCGCCTCTTCCCCTGA